AATTCGCTCTTTCCTGAGCTGACCTGCTACCTGTGCATCCTGGCAGAGAGCGAGTGGCCGACCTGGGTTCCCTTCAGCCTCCTTCAGGGAGAAGAACCACAGACTAAGCTGTAATGGCAAATCCCCTGTCCCCCAGCATCTTCAGGTTACTTACGCTGATATCTTTCCCTTGTCATAACTTCAAAACCATGGAAGGGCCAGACCTGGATCCTGACATGATTTGAGAAAGGGTCGTGGCATTTTTGAATTATCAGAGAGTGTATGTTTCTGAATATAACACACCAGCTATAAAGGAAAAATACTTTTCTTTGCATTTTATTGCAACACTTTCAGAATGTACATCCTACTTGATGTGGGAAGTTGTTGAAGTCAGAGAGATAAAAGTTCCGTGTGCTATGAAAGAAAACAACACTTTTACTTTTCAGTATTGAGAAGTGCCTGATTTTTAAAAAATTAAATATTGATGCTTTCCCCTGTGCTTTTCATTAACTTTTGAAGCCATAAGTTAATATAAAAAGTGCCATTGAAAGATCAGAGAATCTTATTGTCTCTTCATCAAACTCGTAATTTGTTTTGAAGGTTATCATATCTCTTGGAAAGTCCTGATTTAAAGACACCATAATGTAAATATTTTATTCAATTGTTTAAGTAGAGATGGGCCAGAAACAAAATCTTAGCTCAAAACCTGCATGAATCTTGGGGACTTGCTGGTTCCAATTGATGCTCCAGCTTTGTTGCTCAGTACCCAGAGGAACGTGAATTCAAGCTACAGGTCTGAGTGCTTCTGCTCCAAACACTGCGAGTGGTTGGAGCTGCAACTGCATTTTGTCCTTCTTTTTGTTTAATAGGTAATACCACATGGCATGCATGCTCTGTGTTTGCAATATCTTGTCTTTATATCTATAAGCCTCCCCAAGCCATAAATAAAAAAAAAAAAACAACTGGCAAATTTCTCATGGATTGTTAACTTTGGAAAAGATGCATGAATACCTATTAAAGGCAGCGTGAATCATCATGGTATTTCCATTCCACAGTAAAAGTGGTATTTCATTTTGGCCAGGGAAGAGCTCTCCATTTCACCCCTTTTGCTCTAGCTTTACTGTAGTTTATTGAAATGGCAAAATTAAACACTCGGATTTCGTTGGAGTGCAACATTTATGTAATTTTGCAGTTACCTTTGCAACAAAGTTGATAAATTCCTATAAAATTCTTCAATTTTGTTTAGTCAGCATTTTCCAAAAGAAGCATTTCCAATGGGAAAATTTTAACACTAAGAAGAAAGACTTAGTGTTCAAGATGGAGAGGACGGTAACAGGGGAGTTAGCCTGTATCCCGTTTGTTACTCACCTATTTATGTATGGTGAATTCTGTTACTGTGAAACTCCACTTAAACACAAGGTGCTGCAGCATGATCTGGACCAGCATCTTTACATTACTGAGGCAATCAACAACAGCATTTGTTGGGAAAGTGAAATTACCCCTATGATCCAATACCAGGCTGGGACAAGCTAAAGAGGGGAGAGGGAGATACTTCCTTGCAGGTGCCGAGAAGCAGTGATGCTCTCGGCACCCCAGTTTGGCAGCCGAGGAGCAGGAGAGCCAGCTGGGCAGTGTGGCAGGGGCTTTTCCAGACTGGTTGTGTAGCTGTCTCAGGGTCCACCACACCATGCTGAGCAAGGCTTGGTTTGCTAATGCAGCTATACTGCTCTCTTTGCTCCTCCTGACTTGTCCGGAGCCAGTTGAAGCATCTTGGCATGGGCCTGGCTGGTACTTGGTAGATGCGACCTGAGGCATCACTGAATGTGTACCCATGTTGTTTTATTTTTTCAAAATATTACCACTTAAAATGTAGCCCGTGAAGATGTTGAAAAAGGAGCCTGTAAAGATGTTGAAAAGTGAGCTGAGAAATGAAAACTAAATGCACTAAAGTGAAAACATATGGCAGGTGCAAGTTATATGCAAACTTCATAATGAATGCTGAAAATATACTTGAAGAAGGAGAACTACAAATATTTCTATTCTGGATGGCACATATTAAGGATCACTCCTATGTGCTCCATGATATTTGCCAGATCTAAAAGCACAGTTATGCTGGTGAACTTTCATTTATCAATCAATACTCTGACTGTAATAATGGGCAAGAGGGTTCTCTAAATTGTGCTTAACAGTTTCAAATGAGGGATGGAGTAACTAAAATGCTGAGCCTGAACCTACGTAGGCCATTCAAAGCAGACATGAGTTTCAGAGGTTTGAGGACAATCAATTATCACAATTTTTTGCTTTTAAATATGTCTTGCTTTCCACATCTCATCAGCTGATGGCTCTGTGTAGGACTGGAAGCACAAGTGCCAAAATTTCACTTCTTTGTTTTTTCTGGCACCAATCAGCTCAGGAATCATTGCAAGATTTCCAACCTCTTTTGGCAGACCAGAGGTTGGGATAAGTTGGGATAATTATAGGAACCCAACCTCCAACCCTTCCCCTTTTGCGCAGCACCTTTCCTGCCACAGGGCAGCACATGACAGCACATGATAAAAGCAATTAATGGCCTCAATTTGGTTATAACGTGTCTTTTTGTTTTTTTCCTTCAGAGCTTTGTCATCTGTGGTGGCTTTAGGAGCTAATATCATCTGCAACAAAATCCCAGGCCTGGCCCCTCGGCAGCGAGCGATCTGCCAGAGCCGCCCTGATGCCATCATTGTGATCGGGGAAGGGGCACAAATGGGAATCAATGAGTGCCAGTACCAGTTTCGGTACGGGAGGTGGAACTGCTCCGCGCTGGGAGAGAAAACAGTCTTTGGACAAGAGCTTCGAGTAGGTAAGGGTGTCTCTAATACGGTGCTGAAGTGATACATTGGGGATGGTTTTCTTTTAGCTTTCTCACTGCAGTCCTGCAAAGGTTTATAACCCTCTGGTATTTGCCTACTGGAGTTCAACAGTGATGCTCCCAGAACAACTGTGGTCTTTCTGTTTTCACTCATTGAAAAGTAACTGGCAAGAGACATGATATCTCTGGTGATCTGTAGATGAAGTCATTCATATTTGTGCAACTTCATACCCAGCAATGCCTGCACAGGCATCCAAAGACACAGTCATCACACCCTGTGAAAAAAGATTTCCAATTATAATTCTGTTAGAAGTTGCCATGATAACTGCGGTGCATATTATGGCCAATCAAAAAGCACCTAAAATCAGGTCCAAAAAATCCGTCTGCAGACTTCCCAAAAGCTTAAGTAATGGGAGAGTCCCAATTAACTGATGGAAGTATAGTGCGTATGACACTGGTCTTCCAATATATGGCAGTGATACATATCCATTTTAGTGCTGCTATCATGCAGTAAAGAAAATACTGCAAGTGATTTGAGGCAGGAAACCTTTTCAAAGAAAATAACACAGGACCTTGGTCTGACAAGCTGTTAGCTGGCAGAAGTCAGATTTATCACTTTCCATTTGCTCTATGTCTGATATTATTTCATAGGGGAGATTATGCAAATTTATTCCAGCAATGAAATCATTATTTTCCTCATCACCCAGCTGAGTATCCTTAGCCTATTCCTGACCTTTCCTCTCTCCCCCAAAGGCTGCCCACTTACTACCCCCCCGTACTGTCTGCTGCTCAGTGCTGGGATAACATTTTGTAGTGTGTGGCTCTCACAAGGGCACTCAGACTGATATCATCCAGCTTCTCAGTGGGGTTGTAGCTTGTTCTTCTCATGTCCAATTCTTCTCTGGGTGACTCCTCTTTCTTGAATTCAATAGTTTGGGTGAGTCTTGTGCCTCCAACACAACTGAATGTGGTCAGACATAAGATCTCATTAAAACCATGTGAAAAAAAAGGCATAACATTGCATCCCATTTGTGCAAAGAGGAAAGGACTTATACACGGCTTTGGTTGTTACTGGAGGTCAAGGCTTTGGTTTTTTTTTTCCAGCACCCTTGTGAAATGAACACCAAAAGATGAGGTATGCTTAAGTCAATGATGGAACTGAATATTTTTTCAGGAACATGCAAGTCTGAGCATCTGGATGAGGTCTGGGCTTTTTAAGCGCACAGTGGCCCAGCTGTGAAGTGTTGTAATTGAATAAATCCATTGGCATTAGGGAAAGTGACTTACACCCACAGAGAATCTGTTATATTCTGTGAGCATTACTCCACACCAAATCACAGAAAAGGAGAGGGCTAAAACTAATAATAAAAAGACCCAGTAAACCAAATCAATGGCAAAAGAAAAGTCTGAACTTTTTGAACTTCAGAAAAAAGTCTAGTAGAATTCGGTTTTGATGCTGAAAAGCTGGTGGTGAGGAATTTGCTCATCAGTCTCTCTTCCCATATTTGTCCTAAGGTATTTCTAATTCTGTTTAGATAATACTTCTTGCCTAACTTTTGTTTCTTAAAAAGAGTGTGAGCAGAAGGCATTAAACATTTTCAAGACCCCATATACAGGAAATAACCTAAAATTGGACTTTTACCTTCAACTTTAAATGAACCAGAAAAACATCTAGTCGCTTGTCTTGATTATTAGAAGCACAGGTCTGGTCCTCCTTGGTTGGTCTTATGCTTGTTTGTCTTAAGCTGATGTCCAAAATGATGTTGCTGCCAGAAAATATACAGCTGCCAAGCATGCCACCGTTGTACTTCTTCATGCTATGTTGTCTTGATCTGCCAAAGCTTGCAGGCATGCGCTGACCCTTAGACAAGTAAGTCTTCTTCACTTCTGTGAGATCACTTATGTCCTTGAAGAAGCACACTCTGGAGGGTTGTTCCAGAGTTGGTGTCATCATTAAGCTTCCTGGTGAAAAGGCTTTCACCACCTCTGCTCTTCTCTTCAAGCTGAGAATCTTGTGGCACCTCATCAGCTCCATCCTTGTACTCATGAGTAATAACCCTCTTCACCAGAGAGACTCCTTTCATCCTCAGAAACCTTGCAAGTGAGCACAGTCCAAATGCCTAAAGAGGACTACAAATCATTCCTGTGCGTTCATTCTGAATTTTTCTGTGCAAAAAAAGAGCTACAGAAGACAAAAATTGTTTGGCATTAGGATAGACCAGCTATCAAGTTGGTCAAACTATACAAAGTTTGAAAAAAACAGGGTTTTCTTGAGCCACTGTTTAGGTCATATTTGCCAAAATGTTCACCAGATTCTTGACCTCTTCACCGAACCTGGGTGGTTTCTTGCAACTCTGAAATGACTGATGTGGAATTTGGCGGGTTCTTTTATGGCTTAACCCAAACACAGACAAAACTTGGCAGTTGCAGCCGAGTTCTGCTTTGACATTTGTTGGGTGTGAAACCACACAAGCTCTAACGGATGGAGAAGGTTTACATGACCCCTGCCAGCTGAGCCAGATGAGTTCCATGCAGGTCTATAAAGGATCCTGTAATCCACATGTCTTTGTTTGTTTTATTAGTGGAGCAGCACCCAGAGATGATGTGGTCAGTACCTAGGAAAAGGACAGGGTTTAGGAAGTGGTGTTATTACACTAGTGAGGGGGAAAAAATAAAAAAGGACAAAGCTTAAAAAACTCCAGCCACTTAAAGGTACAAAATACTTGTAAGCATATTCACATGTGTAACAAAACACATCCGTGTCTGAGACATACAGAAACACTACACCAGACATTTGTTTCTGTCTGAACAGGCTGAAGAAAGGATTAAGATTAAAAAAGACAAGCATGTTTTTCATTTCACCCCAAAGGAAAGCTCATCTAGCTTCTTCCCAGAACTGCTTAGGGAGATGAACAATCAAGGCAAGTTATCCAGGTCGTAGGGTGGAGAGGCCGAGCAAGTAATGATAGCGTGATGTTAATTGCTGTCTATCTGTATGGGAAAGAGGGGACTTGCTCTTTAGCCACTGGGCCAAGGCTCTACCGCTAACACTGACAAGTGAAGATTTATGGTTATTCTAGTTTGCATCCTGATGCAAAACTCCTCCTTCAAAATTCAAAGCAAACCCCCAGACCCACCCAACATGAGGTTTCTGTAACAGCTGTGCATCTGTTGCCAGCACCACCTCTTGGGTGCCATTATGCTCCAACTATGTATGTCTTCCAGCCACAACCAAGTGGCAGCCAGAAGGTATGACAGAGGAGCAAATGTCCACCCTTGTGACATCTGGCGATCCTACTGTGCCAGGGGAATCCCCAGTAAGTTAGCTAAGCTGGATTGGTGCTGAGCTGTTTTTTCAAAGAGATACTTCAGTGAATGAGGGCTGTACCACCTATATAGTACATGGGAGCCTGTATTAAAAACAATTGAATAGTTCAGAGGACAGAATAACAACTGTAGAAATTATGATAGGTGTGGGGCATTCATGTTGGTGTGAAAGATTTATAGCAGCCAGAGATAAAAAGTGATGGAGAGATCCAAATTAGTAGCATGAACAAATGATATAGCATGGGATGAATTAGCCAAGCATTGTGTATAGCTTTTTTTGGTATATTTATAGGTGGGAACTTTTCCATAGTCATGCCATCCCCAAAGAAAAGTCACTACTACACTCACTTTACTCATCCTGTCCCTGTACATACTTGTATTTGTCACCTTCCTGCACTCATCCTTAGTTTTCATGCCAGCTTCTCACATAAAGTCATCTTTTGCACTGTCCACTCATTCTTCTTGCTGTAAGTCTCTTCAACAAATTACCTTTTTTAAGATTATGTCTTTAACAAATGGATTAAAAAATTAATTGGTTAATGATATATCAGTTGTTATTATTGATAACCATTGTTGAAAGATAATTGTCCTTCTTATTTTTTGAATGCAAGGACCCTGATCTGGAAGAGTAAAGCCTCTGGTCCTATCAGGTTATCGATGCAAAAGAGCTCCAGCCTAGCGACTGGTCTCTACTCCCCCAAAAGATGGTTGAAGCAATCTATCATGTAGGTACCTCTGAAAGTTACAGATCACTAATAATGTTTGGAAGCAAATAACTCCATGCAAAAAAGTAAGCAGTGCAGCCTCTGAAGTATGAAGTCAGAATTAATAACGGAAGTGAAACCTACTGTTGTTCTTTGACAATGGATTATTTTGGCTAATTATTTGTGCATGGACCATTTCCACTGGAACTCTCCAATCTAAAGTGCTTGTAAACAAATTACTCTTACCAGTGCGAAATCCAGGGCAAAAATTAGGTGGTTTGAAAAATATAGCTGTCAAGATATCAAAAGAAATCTGTAGATGTCTCCTTTGTCAGACTCATGATGTGGAAAATGATCACAATTTAGTAATATTCATTTGGCTATGTCATTGATGCAATGATTTAGCAAATCATTGAACTGCACACCTGACAGGGAAGAATCAACAAACAGCCAAAAAACAAAGGAGTTCTGAAGTTTTTTTTAAAAAAATCTCTCACCTTTTGTATCGGTCTGTAGTTTTCTGGCATGTTGAAAGGATGCATTTGAAGTGAGGTTAAAGCTCTGCTTGCTGTGGGAGGTTTAGGAGAAGAACAGTCTCTTAAGAAGCTTCCTGTTGCCATGCATTTGCTCAACTTTTGATCCACTCTCCAGGCAGAAAGGGGGAGCGATGGGAGAGAAAACTACAATTTTAAGGACTAACAAAATCTGTGCATGGATTTTATTAACTCATAGGTGAAGAAGACTTTATAAGTTATTTTGAGAAACACAATCAGAAAATAAAGTTGAATGTCACGGTTATGTACAAGCATGCACTTGTACACATGCACACATAAACCACTAAAAACACGGCATAATTTCAAACAGAAGACTAAGAAAAGGAGGGCAACATCTTCTGAAGGAAAGATACTCATAAATAAAGTGATTCTTTCTGTCTTTATACTGGAAACAGGTAACTAAGTC